AATGGGATCTCGCAGGACGGGCGGGTTCAATGCCTCGTAAATATTTTTCGTTTTACGGACGGCGGAGGCCACCCACCAAGCTGGCCCCTTTGTTTGTCGACCAATCCTTAATAATAGTAGATGATGGAACAAAAAAGGGAACTGGTGAGAGCAAAGCTCAGCACAGCAGTCGCAGCTGTCCCTTTGATAGATGGCCCGAAGCGAGCAGAAATGGCCAAAACGAGCCAAATTTGTGATGCGAAAAACAAGTGTGAATAAGCTTTGGTCCTTAGCCCATTTATGGATGACATTGAAGAGCGACTGTCCGTCAGTCAGTCTGTCTTTCAGTCTGTCTGCATGGATTTATGGAACTCTTGCCCGACTCTGGTTGTGGGGCCCTCGATGCGACTGGAGCAGCTGCATTTGCACAACTTGAACTCTGAAACAGAATTGAAAACTTCAAGTGGCTCCTCTTTCCTCCAAGGAGCTGCAGAGCAGCAGAAATAATAAGAAAAATAAATAACTAAATGGTGAGAAGGCTGGTAGCTGGTAGCTGGTGATGGCCGGGAAAAGTTCTAACCGGGCCAGAAGATATTGAATAAGTTTGGCTCCAATATGTGCATTTATTCGAAAAGTTTCCTCCAAAGTGATTAAAAAAATGGAATATAAAGTTGCGAGGATCGCATTCGAGAATCTCCATAAACTGATTCGAGAAAAGGTCTATTCCTTCCATGGTCTAGAGCAGTTTGGAAGATCTACTTAATGGACAATTTATTTCTGTAGAGTATTAGCAAACCTAATTGAAATTTACTCGCGTATTGTTGGGAGTTTCTTTCGGGTAATGCAAGTAAATTGCAGCAGAAAGTGCATTACGACTGTCCGCCAATGCCGACTAATTAGGAAAGTTGCTCCAAAGTCGAAAAAGGGGGCTGTGGCAGGGGTGGGGGCTGGTCAAGGACGACCTGGGCATCTCATCTGGCTAAGCAGTTTATATGCAAATTTTATGAGCTGTCAACGTGGCCGAGTGTTTCGTCGTGTGCCTAAGCCCCGTCGTAGAAGCCATTGAAGTGGCCCGAAAAAGAGATGTCCCCTCAGTGGACGACAAGGGTTAAGCCTAGAGAGCTTCTGGAACTGCACAGCCAGAAAATACTCTAGTAGTGGGTAGTACCAGAGCTATGACACAAAGGTGGGAAGCCTTCGTGCAGTGTAATTCAACAATCCTACTTCATTTATTCATGCCGGGCCAAGAAAGCAAAGGTCAAGAGTGCGTCCGTGTGCGAGTGTCCGGCGTGTGCCCGGACTTGTGGGTATGGCCACGCAATTAAGACACTAGTGCACGACACAAAGAGCCCAAAGACGACAGGACATGTGCATATAAATTGCTTTGCTGAAAATATGCGAGAGCCCAGGACTACATGTGTCTGGATCGGACGTGGGATCTGCAGTTATGTACCTCCAGACCTGCGAATCAGACAGGGCCCGGTCCATCCATCATTCGTTTATGCCACTTTCATTTCGGATATTCGTATATTCGTGCGTGGAAATCAATTTGTTTTGAAACATGCCACTGGAGGTGGCCCTCCGCCGAGCATCTCTAAAATAGATTCCCCACTCGAACTGATCTTTTCATACACTTGCCTGCCAACAGAGCCCCGTTGTGTTTGGATTTCATTAAACAGAAACCCTTTAGAGCCACCAGATACGAGCTCAACTTCCGAGCTGGCCTCGAATAGTTGGCCCTGATAGTTGGGCTTTTCCAGTCGGTAACTAGGACCGTAAAAAGCACAGCTACCAGGGCAGGGCAGAAAAAGCCGGGCAGGGAGTGGCGAGGAAAGCCAAAGCGCGTGTCAATGACTCCTGGGTAAATAACAATAATAATAAAACTGGGTGGATGGTGGATGGTGGATGGTGGTTGGAGGTCTGGTTGGTTGGTTGGCTTACTGGGTTCTGTTATTGCAGCTTGTCAAATTCCTGTTCGTCCCCAAGGACTTGTTTCGCTCCTTTATTTAGTTGTATCTCGCTCGAGACTCGCTGTTTACTCGTTTAGCTCTGTTTGGCAATCGTTTGGAGATTGCCGATTACTGGATTATTCACACTGGCACTCAATCAATGACAGATTGCTGGCAACGGCGAGATTCGGAGTTCGTGTGCGTATTCGAGCCCGCCTCAACTGCACCCATGTCGTATGCGTAATGTCCTCAGCTCCACGACGTGTCTTTACCTATTTGCATTCATCATTGGCAGGCAGCAGCTCCAGCTACACGACGACAACACACTCTTGCATGCAAATACAGCAGACGTCACCCCCACATGCTGGCAGTTAAGCACATGTGCCATGTCGACCTCCCTCCATGTCCCTCGTCAGACTGGCGTGCCTGGCCCTGCTGTAGATGTGTCTCTTTACCTGCTGCCGGCTGCTTAGCGAATGAACACTGTGCCGGGGTATCGCAGGAAACACTCTCCGATGCGATGGAGATCCGGGCAACTTGGGCAACCGATCCGATCCCAAAATTAATTCCCCCAATACCCGAATTAAAATTGAAAAACTTGCGACTCCCAGCGGCCGATGGTGCATGATTAATGGGCGGCGGTGGCACGGAGTTCCAGGCTCGGAGCCACTGTGCGGGGCATTGTTGGGCGCCATAAAGCGCACAAGTGCCAAATTGCTTAGGCAAACTACGTTAGTTATTACAGGCTTCGGCGGTTGCTATGCTACTCCAGCCCGGTGGGTTGCTTGCCTCCATTCCCTCCTCATACCTCATGCCTCATGCCACATGCCATCCATCTGATTCGGAATCAAGGCGAGTCGAGTTGCCGCTGCCATTAATGTTGCCCTTTGTTGTAGCTCCCAGTTGCCATGGCCCGTGCTGGGCTCATAACTGGCTCAACGTGCCCCATACGAGCATAAATAGCCGAAATTGGGTTTTCGAATTGGAATCAGGCCCGAATCGGAATAGCCAAGTGGCCTGGATGTCACTTTGCTGTCCAAAGACGGGCAGGATGGGTACTAGTACCAGCTACCCTCTGGGGGCTATGGGAAGCTATATGAAGCTCCTGAGATCCGATAACAATGCACCCTGATCCTCGAACATTGTTTTCCACTTAAAACGCCATCAGGTCTATTGATACCTCCTCATACCTCATCATAATATTTATTTGGCCACATGCCCCAGAGCCATGTTATCGCCATTACAACGTCCGTGATTGATGGCCGAGAGGTGTGCGGAGGAGGGCGGGACGGGGCGTGGTAATAAATTACCGGGAAAACGATGCCGAAACGCCCGAATGCGTTCTCATAATTTTCCAAAAATTTCAACTGCAATTCCTATTAATCAACTCTGTCAAAAATAATAAAATAAAACAATCTGCAATCAAAATGTGTTGCATATGTGGGGCTACCGCCCCTCCCGCCCCACAGCCCATGCCCGGTCGACCCTCCATTCCGTCGAATAGCCGCGGGATCTTCTGCTTTTTCTGTGTTGTTTTTCCATTTTTCCATTTTTATGTGTGTTTTTATTGGATTTTATACGCAAAGTCCCCGAAAACAAGAGAAGCTGCACAAGCGACGAAATGCAAAGGAAATGAAAATGAAAATTGAATATTTTATATGAAACAAATGAAACAGGAGCAAGAAAAACAATGCCAAGCCAACAATTGAGACATAAAATGCTCGAACATAAAACGAGAAAAGCGAAAAGTATTTGTGTGTGTGTGTTTTTATGGAAAATGCGAAGCGCATAGAAAAAGTTTCCACCAAATTAAATATTTACGTTCGGCAAACATTTGTTATTAAAACACTTGAAGGATCCTTTAAAGCGTTTAAGGTTTAAACTGGCCACATTCCCCCATTAAATCCAATCATCCATCCATCCAATCCAAGCCTCCGAAACCCAGAACTGGATCCAACTTTGAAGGGGAATGCAATCCAAAGTGAAACAAGCCATGGAGCCAAGGCCGAAATTAAACAAAGAGTGGAGGTCCAGTGCAGAAGCCAAAAAATGGCGGAAAACAAGCCCCGAAAAACAAGGAAGCCCGGTGTCGGTTGGAAGCCAAAGATCTCCCTCGTGTCCTCTCTTATGTCAGAGAAAAGCCGGGGAATCCGGTGGTCACGCGCCAATACAAGCGCTGCAACTGGCTGCCATGCAGTTCCTTAAACGCGGCGATTAGCAAAAGGACACGTACGAGAGCGGCGAAGGATACTCTGGGTGTTGTGGGTGTTGCGGGTCGCCGGATGTGTGCCAATGTGGCAACAAGTTCGGTTAACGAGCCGGGCCAACATAAGGGCCCAAATCCTAAGCCACGTTGTGGCCTACACTTTTCAGCGGCCCGCTTAATACAATGTGGCACCCACGGCGTATGCGTAACGAGTGTGGCATGCCACTCTTTCGCTCCGAATTCATTTCTCGTTCTCGATTGTGCGGCCAATGATTTCCTTTGGGACAATGCCCGGGAAAATCGAAGACAATTTCTCATTAAATCATTTCATTGAAAAAAATCTGAAAACAAATAATGGGAGTCTGGAGCTCTGGGGGTCGGAGGCCAAAGAGCAGGCCATGCAGACAATGAATATGGTGGCCACTGGCATGGAAATCAGAAAGCGCAGAGGCATTTCAAGTATTTAATTCAAATGAGAGGCCAGCGAGGAAATCTGCTTCTGTAGGGGATGGATAATTTCAACATTTACAGCCCCCCTCGAAAAATAACTCGATAATAACCCTTCAGAGCCTTGTTCGAGGGTCGGTTTCTGGGAAATGAAAGAGGGTTTTCTGTGTAATTAGTATGGATATTATCATTGTGGATACATATCATGGCGGATGAATGCAACGCCCACATGGAAACGGTCCTAAAAAAGCTGATGCTTCCTCTCAGATTCGATATTGATATTCATGGAAACACTCGAACTATCGCTGTAGAATCATTCATTTTCTGGCAGGGATAACCACTATAATGGAACTAACCCTGCCCGTTCCGGTGTCTGATGCCAATCGAGGAATTTAAACATAAATCAGAGTCATAGTTACCGCTTCGCTCCAAACTGTTTCTGGGGAACGCACTTTTCAGTCGTTCGAGTCCAGCGAGAATTTCGTGCACATTTTTGAAGTCTTACCCGTCCGGCGGTTCACGAACTTGGACTGTTTGGTTCACCAATTAGGTCTTCTTAAGTATATCTTTTGATTAACTTGTTACTTGGCTTAGTTGGATGAGTTAATTGTGGCACAACACTTAGAAGCACAAACAAAAAAAGAAGTCTACTTCGCAATGGTACAGGTGTGATATCCCGACCCGTGTCAGGTGTCAGGATTCTATGAATGTTTTCTTTTTTTTTTTTTTTTTTTTTTTTAATGTTTTGAGAAATGTCTGGTGGGTTTGTTTTGCTTTGGCTCTCAAGTGGGCTGCTGGCTCCGCTGCTTTTCGGGGCACAACGCGCCTCGTCGACCGTTCAAACGAAACTGATGCGAAGGCGCCCCGGCCGAAGGAATATAAAGGGAGAGCCGCCGCAGCCGCAGCGCCAGCAGAGGAGCCCGCTCGGCTGCCGTCGGGCGCGGGCCGAAGCGACATAAACACCTGTAAGCAGCCCCCGAGATGCCGGGGCCCAACACTGGGCGAGTGGGACAGAGAGAGAGAGAGTTGGAGCGGCGTTCGTATCGCTCTAGCTCTCTGGCTGTTTCGCTCTCGCCTGTGAAGGCGGAAGGAAACTCAACAGTTGGCACATTATTCCGCGTAGAGAGAGAGTCGGCCGAGGCGGCGGCAAGTGGAAGGGGGGGTCGGCCCAGTGGGAGGAGTGGGCGGCAGGGGCAGGGGCAGCTAAAGAAATGTTCATGCCATTTGGTTGCCATAAAGTTTATGGCAATCGTTTGTTGGGTGTTTCGAGTTTAAACGCCGAAACAAACATGGCCACAAGTGTCCCCGAAAACTATCGATAATTGCAGGGCGGAAAGGGTCCTTTTTTAATTGTATTTGGATCTGCCTCTACAAGGACTCTCTTAGCTTCATACCAAGCTTCATTCAGTAATCTAGTGACCTTTTCTTCAGGGTTGTGCCCAGTCCAGCTATGAGGTCCTTGACCAGCTGGTCTACCAAGTGGACCCTCTTGTTGAAGTTATCCTGTTGCTGGAGGCAGGTCCTCAATTCTTCGTAGGTTCCAACGATAAGATCAGCGCTCTCTTCATTCAAGCCGAACTGTTCGAGAGATCCTTTGAGACTTTCGGGGAACAGGACACCCCTCGGTCTCAGATCGAGGGCCATGCCAGAGACGGCCAGCAGGAGGAGGCAGCCGAGGCCCCCAAGGTGATGCATTCTGGAATGAATGGCCGCCAAGAAGGCAGCCCCTTTTAAGCCACTCTCCGGCGATAATTAAAAACTGAGTTATGGCTCCAGCAACTAAGTGTATTTACAGATAAGGTCAGCAAGTAGTTCATTCTTCTGATTATCCAACGGAATGCATTTGTTAATTACTCCAAGGAATACGCAACCGACCAACTACTTTGGGTGCAACAACGGAACAACATTCCATTTTCGGTGGTTTATGGAAGGTAACAAAAATATAACGCTAGTGGCTGGGGATGGGGATGGCCCTCACAGGCCCTTCTCCAGGGTGACCCGCATGGCCCGGAGCATCTCCGGCAGCAGGGCCACGTGCCCGTCGATGCATTCGATGGAGCAGCGCTCCAGGTGGCAGTCCCCACCGCCCCCCCTCATCTGGTGGCACTTCTGCACGCAGGTCTCCAGGCGGTTCTCGAATTCGGAGAGCTCCTGCTGGACGTAGCAGCGGGCCCGGGTGAGGGGCAACTGGCAGCGGTCGACGCAGCGCTGGACCGCCTCGGCGCTGGCGTCCGAGTTGGCGCAGCACTTGGTGGCACAGACGTGCATCTGGATCTCCAGCTTGCGCAGGTACTCGCGGTCCAGGTCGTCCAGGGCGTTGATCATCGCGTTGTCGATCCGCTCGCGCTGCTCCTCCACACTGGGGTTCTCGTCGTTCATTTTGTTGGATTGGGTCGCTTGATCGGTTCTCGACAGGAATGGGGGTCTGGGAAGCTGTGACTGCCGGAGCGAAGCCTACACGCCTTTGATTCGGAATCGGAACTGGCTGCGCCGAAAGGTATGCTATGGTTTCTACGGCCTCCCCCACTTGAACCGCTTACTTTTAGGCATCTTCGGTAATTGAATAGCAAGTGCACCGAGGTGATGGCTTATCTCCCAGCCCCCCAATCAATAAATCCTATTAGCCGGCTATCTGCGGCGGCGTAAGCCCAATCAAACCACAATTAACCGCTAAATGGCATCTCAATTAATGGCAGTCTGTAATTACAAGCACGAATTCAACTACACGACACCCCGATCGCCAGTCGGGGTCACCCCGAAGAAACACCTATCGATTCCTCGCCCCTCCAATCGATTATGCTGCAATTTTTGTCTCTGACCCAAAAACATTGTTTCTACAAAGCAATTACGGCCCGTCCCCCAGCCCCTGCCCCCGACTGGAACACAGTCCAAATACAAATTATTCATATGAACATGTCCGTGGCGCCGTGATTTATTCACGTGCCACATGTACCAGGCTGCATAAACGCCACCAATTGATAAGACAATGACAATCTTCTCGGGTCGACAGCGGCACGAACAGCATGGCATACTTTCTGGCCCACACCGGGCTCTTGCACCTCTGAAGAAGAGGTCCCGGGGAAGTCTTTCTACCTTCTGACCGCCAGTCGGGCGTAATGACATTAGAAATATATTAAAAACAGGCCCGTGCCCGTACCCGTGCCAGTGCCCAGACATCGATGGTTTCCGATGGCCAAATTCGCTTCATGCCCGGCCGTCCATCAAGGGGCAATCAATGGCTACATGGAGCTATAAAGCATTTGTGTCTGACAGATATACTCGTGCCAGTGCATAGGTGTGCAGACAAAAGCAATCGGCATGTCAGTGGAGCAATTTAAAGGGAGCGCCAGTGGGCGGAGGGTGGAGGGGCGAAAAATTATGTGCCACGAGACAATGGCGGGCGGAGAACTGTGCCTGGGTAGTGGGGTGTCTAAAAAAATGTTTCCACATTATTCAAATGAAATGCTCTTTATTGTCTGGCAGCGAATCAGAATGGGAACCTCCATGGAGGTCGATGGATGGAGTAAATAATAGAAGCAGCAACGAGGGCACCGTGGGGGCAAATAAAACAAGATATTTACTTGTAGGGCGGCCTACATTCCGAGCAACTAATCTAAGACTGGGAATTCGCTAAAACGAAGAGCCAATTAGCCAAGAAAAGTATTCAAAACCACTTATGCAACAAATGCCTATGCCGAGTGGCTCCTATAAATGGGGGTTACCTTTGGAGGAGACCTGACAGAGTCCAGAGATGCGCTGCCTTGGCTTACTACTCCTACTGGCCTACTGGCCTCCTACTGGATGGGCCCTCAGTCCTGCCCAGGATCACACGATCTCAGGAGTGTCCTTGGAGAGCTCTGGATCGCAGCCCCGCTTGTACTTGACGGTGCTGGAGTTGCGGATCCTGAACTTCCTGTTGAAAATCGGAATGACGGATGACTTCTCTTTCAAGGTATTGGTGGTCCTGGGAAGGGACAAGGAGGCCATGCGACAGGTGACGACACTTATGGACGATATCGGCCATGAGCCGGAAGACACCGAAGCCTACAAGGAGAAGATTTCCAAGCTAAAGGACTTGGTTATGGACTTGGTGAATAAAAGCTAGAAGCAAAACGGTAATCTTTAAGTCAATTTCCCCAAGTGTACCGCCCCCCCTTCCCTCGTCCCTTTGGACAGGGAGTAGAACAAAGGAGCTGGCAAGGAATTGCAGAAATGTACGAGCTGCAAACTTTGTACCGCTTATCGGCGTGTGTCAAAATGTAATGGCTGGTGCGTGGGTGCTCGCGTGTGTGTGTGTGGCTGGGATGTGGCAAGGAGCCTTGATAGGGAGGGGGGCAGGGAGCTGCCTCACTGCGCCGAGTGTGAGAAGTCGAGCGAGACGAGCATGCAGGGCAGTCACTCGAACCGAGATGGAAACCAAAGATTGCAGTCCCTGACATCGACCAGAATTCGACCAAGTACAGTGAGCATCCGATACATTGTTGAGGGCTATTATTATGTTTCTCTTCCTTAAATTTGTAATAAATGCTGGTGGAATGATAGGCCTGGCATCTCAAACTTTTAAAGATCCTTCAAGTTTTTATGGGCTCCTTGCCGCAAATGGCCCAATTGAGATTCATCGTCGTTCTCCTCTCCGAGCCCAATTTTCGGGCCCAAAATTGGTTCACCTTTTGCGGGTCCCCGCATGACATTCTGAATATTCCAGAGACAGGCGCCACAACGCGATATGAACCATGACGCCGAACAGCGAAATGCGAAAATGCGAAAACGAGGTCCTGGCTTCGCCTTCGGATCCACAAAACTTGACTGCATTCGCCGGCAAACGGCTGACAGTCAATGGGCCATCGCCTAGGCCTATGCTGCCTGTGTGGCATATGAGGCAAGTGGGGGGCTATAATGCCGCATCTCAAAGTGGCAAGTCAAGCGAAAAGGCGAAGGCAACGCCAAGGACGCTGCGACGAATGTCCTGTCCTGCGCTGTCCTGGGCGATATGTTAATTTGGCCTAAACTACACACCAAAGGAAAATTGAGGATGCGCGCTGCCAGGATCCGAGAATTCGAAAGCGAAGGCGATGCCGCGTCCTTCGCCGCAAATCCCAGAGGCGAAATGTGTCATATACTCGCCAGTTAGCAGGAGATTTTCCGAAACTAGAAGGAAAACACAAGCATGCCCCACCGACATGGGGCAGTTGTGATTTATGCCTCAGGATGCGACAGTATTTATGAAAATAAATCAGCTTTACACGCATCTTCCAGATACTTGAGAGCTTGTTTCAACTTCATTTAAAAGTCCTTATTGGGCAAAGTATATTAGGGATATAAATCACCAGAGATACAAAATATGGGTTAATAACTGCAAGGATTTTTGAATTCCTATCAGGATAAGTGATTTATGCGCCTGAAATATTTATTGATTTTAGAAAAAAATACAGGGTACTCGCCAGGACCTGCTCTGAAACGCTTTAATGAAAGTTGGGCCATTGTGGCGCCCACCAGGACACATCCTGCCGCCCCTGGCACGCCCCCCGATTGACACATTCGCCCAGAGACACGATTCACATATAGAATACATCCGCCCCGGCCCTGGGAGACCGAAAAAAAAAAGAACACGACCCACACCTTACTGTCAAATTTAATGCGGTTCGCTGTTTATTAGATTTGCACAAATGGCATTTTCGGGAGTAGGATGGCGGATGAAGGACGAAGGACGAAGGTCCTTTCTAGGCGTTAAGTGCTTGTTGGTGTGTTGAGCAACAAAAACAGCGCCGGCAGAGCCACACAGCTCCGGGTCTATCGGCTGCCAAAAAACCGACAGCGAAATTATTGAAAATTCATTTAAATGTCAGCAATGCTGAGAAGCTTCCTTCCAAAATGGCGCAACATGTCGTATGCGCAATATTAAATATTAAAACGTTTACATTATTAATAACAAATGGTTCAGGCTGGAGAGATTTTTGTCATGGGAAGGGGTGGTGGGGGGCGACAGGCGAAATTTAATTTTATTTCAGAGCGAATGGCAGAGGAGAATCAACATATTTATGAGTGTTATGAGTGCGAAAAGCAAGTAAATCCGATTGTAAATTAGAACGAAAAAATACGACATGACTGGGCTGGGGACTGGGGGCTGGGGGCTGGAAAACAAGCTTTGAAAACAAAACAGTAAAGGACACGGCCGGACAGGACCCCACCCACGGGACAGAATAGAGTCCCCAAGCGAACAAAGAGAAAATTAAATCAGCGATGCAATCGATGATATCCAAAAACTGTCAACACATTGCAGTCGCCAGTCGCCAGGCTGCACTACAAAACAACAATAAAAATCGCGGACAACGACGCCGACAAATGTCCTGTCCCGAAATCCTGCGTATTTCGATTGTCGCTGTTCAAGGACCTCCTGTCCAGAGCACAAAGGCCAGTGCCGCACTCGGACAATGGAATTTAATTGGCAGATAATCAGCCTAATCATTTAAAATAGAGCCACCAGCCCTGAAGCCCTGAAGCCAGGAATACAGAGTCCAGGATTCAGGATTCAAAAATCCAGACTGTAATTAAATATTTCCATACATTTAATTATTGCAATTGAAATTGATTTTCATCCAGCCAAATATTTAATAATGTAATGGGGAAAAAACGGTCTGCAATTCGATCCCCAGGTGGGTTGTGAATTCGAATTTAACGACAGCCGTGGATGGTGGTCTGATGGTTGCAGGGGATGCATCCACCGGGTGGCATCCACCGGGTGGGCATCCACCTCTTCCTTCCGCTCGGCTTCGGCTGTCATAAAAATCAACGGATGGAAATTCGAAATGCGAATGCATTTGTCGAACATTGACAGTCGAGGAAAAGTTAACTTCAGTGTCATGTTTGGGGCTCGTAAAATCAACTCTCGTGGCCGGAGTTTTCGTTACGTTCTGGTTGCATAATATCAATATCAATTTCGCAATTTACCCCTCCCACCAGCCCCTCTACCTATTGTTGTCATTGTGTGGATATTGCCTCCTAAATGCTCCCTCATTCCCAGCGATTGGATTCGATCCAAAAAGAGAACAATCTGAACACAACCCACCATCAGTACACAGTACCCATCACCCAGTCACCCATCACCCAGTCACCCATCACCCATCGCCATCACCTTTCCGCTTTCCATTTCTCATCCATCCCATGTCCCATTCTTGTTGCCTTTTCGTACAATGGAGCTCCGGGAGTCAACGGAGACGGGAGTCAACTGGGCGTATGCGTAACGCTCACAATGCGAAAGACTAGAAAGCCAAAAAAATGTATATATATATCACATGGCAGCCGGAAAAAAACAAGGAAGTCTGGGGGCGGGGCGGAGCACCATGGGTATGGGTATGGGTATGGGTTTCAAAAAGAGATAACTGTAATTATTGATTGAGGAATTTGATTGAAATGTTATGGATACATTTTTTGTTGGGCTCAAAGGCAT